ATGACCATCCTCTGTTAATTTGATATTATCGTTTACATTAGAATTTCCTGTGTTCTACACATTAATCACTGTCAGGATATATTTTCATCAAAGTAAATCTTAACTGCATTGGCTTGTGCTCTTTCATGGACAGGGACGGTCCGTTAGCCTAGTGGTTAAAGCGTACGCTCGTCACGCCGAAGACCCGGGTTCGATTCCCCACATAGGTACCATGTGTGAAGCCCATTTCTGGTGTCCCCACCAAATAGTGCTGTAATATTTCTTAAAGCGGCGTAAAACCATACTCACTCACTTCGAGCGGTGTTCATCAAATTACTATATGCAAGTACATATACTTGTATAGATTTGTACAAGACAAGAGGCACAATACAAGTTGATCATAAATCAAATGTCAAAAAGAATATTTACTGATACCAGCATTATGGTATTGACACTGTAAGATTATATACTACTCAAAACAAGTTAAAGAACACCCACAAGTATACGTTTTGCAATACAACCACTCATGACTGATTAACCATAGACATATGAAAGAATCGGGTATTCTTTAACTACTTTTGAAAAGTATATCTTTAGAATTTAACCTGATTTATTTAAAGAATATTGCCATGACCCGCCACGCTCTGACTGCGTGATGGTTCCATAAAAACCTAATTAGGGCCATAAATTAATGGCTGAAATCCGTGGATTATTTTAAAATCACCTCCGTCTGTACAATTATTATGTTTAAGTGAATAGAGAGTAAATTTCAACATTTGAAATGTGACTGGAAAAACTCTCTTTAAGGAAGAAAAAACTTCTATGCACCACAAAAAACCCCAGCAACATAAGCCCATGCACTTCCGGTTTAATGATGTCACTTCCGGCTTGGGACGATACATGTCTGGTGACGTACAACCATAGTGACATGCCTCCAGGTACCCCAATAATGAAGCCGTGTGGCAGGAGAGCTGATGTGCGGATTAGGCCACAAACACTTACTTTCTTTATGAAAATCGTGCGAGTAGTGGGTGCCATCGGTAGAGTTGGACACGCCCATTTCGCACCTGGTGTCAGCATTGATTTTAAGCGATCCATTCATATTCATGTAAATGCCGCCACTATTTTGCCTTTTACACCCAATGGAATCTGTTTCTGCGGATAATCGATTATTTTCTGTCGTTGACGTTTTATGTTTAATGAAAAAGGCTGTTTGACCGATCTGTGGCGAGTTCCTACATTAAAGGACTAAAGAATTTTTTTAAAGAATGATGCCGTGAGACACTTCACCCTTTGATGAAAGACATCCTGTTATCTCACGATGAAGATTCCTGTAACTATAGCAATAACAGCTAAATGGCACCCAAGTCGATTAATGTCAAAGGAACAAGTTCGTGCAGTGTAACATAGCAGCAAACATAACAACATCTTGAGAAGAAAATCATTTTGGTTGTATCCGAGCTTCAAACAGATCACAGATCACTGAGTACAGTGGGATTTTTAGTGTGTAGAATGCAGCATGACTTCAGAATGCTCGGATCTCGTTTTGAAGCGCTATAAAATAACTAAAACATAAACAACAGCCTAACCTAGAATATATTATGGCCGTTCCTAAACTACTTAATATCTGTTGTTGCAAAGTTTGAGAAGAAATGGTCAATGCAATTTACTGACATACTTTAATAACAAATAGTTTCTAGGTCTGTATGTTTAAAAGCCTTGATTAAATATTTAAAAATATGAATATTATTCTGTGTAATACAAAATATGCCCTTTGACTACATCACAGTGACATGCTTGCCCGGACAATGTGAAATATATGTCTGAACGTCCTGAGCTGTATGATGAATACTAAAAGGAAGACATTAAAATAACTGTTTTGTCTCAAACAAAAATCACAGACACCTCTTCTTCCACCACACAGACACGGCTGATCGATAGAGGCGTGGACTACTCAGTCGTGGTGTTGGCTTGTTGATGAAAACTGTTCCCTCGGAAGCATGCACGACACACCGCTAGATATTGGTCTGTGCCTCCGATCACCTCCACCTGATAACATAAACATATTGTTTAATAATAATCCACGAGGGCCGCAGGGTTTATTATCCCTGTAGTGTTTTATTGTGCGCAAAACAATTCATATTCAGATATGAATGGGTATTAAGTATATTATGAATATCAATGTAATAGGGTTTGACAACTGAGGGTAACACATAAAACAAAACAAACTGACATGCACTTAATATAGTTTTATTGTAATTTGCTACAGTAGCATTCGTTTTATTAATTCTGGAACACAGGTATAACAATTTCCCAACTTTTCTCAAATTACCCCACTGATAAGATGTATAAGCGTAACATTTTTTCTATTGAATATTCCAACGTTAATCATTTGATGCAGACATTCACGTTTGCATGGCGCCATTCCATCTTACATGAATATGTATAAAACATTGTTTTATTAAATATCATATGAAGTTCATTGTCTATATTAACGCTCTGTAATACTGCAATGGTATAAGGCGTTTTATTACAGATGTAGCTTTGAAAGCTTTTAAAAACCCAGCTTATTATATGACAATGATAGAAATTTAGATTATACTGTACTGTGAATATTTATGGTCGAATATTTAAGTCGAAACTGACATAGTCCTATATTTTACATATTGTTTACACAGTAAACTTTAGATGACATTTGTCTTCCTTTTTGACAAATTGTCCTTAGCATATGGTCACCATATTTAGTGTCAAATGCCCCATTGACCATGGAATGAAGCTTTTCCTAGTTAGCTTTGTCCTGTCGGTGGCGTACAAAATTAAAAAATAAAATGTTTTGACATATTTGAACTTGTTTTTTTCTGGTATTACAAAACGTGAGTCCTGAGAATCCACATGGTGTTAATACTATTTGTATCAAATACTCTGGGTGACGATTAAGAACGTTCTTCCTTGATTGTAGTCAGGATCATGGTTAATCTTTGGGATAGAGAGTTGGTGGTTCATTTGTTGGACCCTGCAATCGAGTTTTATGGAGCCTTGGAACCCTGGACCAAAAAGGAATGCACATGTCTTCAGGTTTGAATAGTACTGATTTGTGATTTTGTCAAAACTCTCAAATGTGGCATTATATGATTTGTCACTTAAACCAAGTTCATTGATCAAACAATTGATGCAGTGATGCATGCATAATGCACATAATAGCTATGGTTTTTAAGTCCTGTTAGCTGGAACAAACCTTACATGTAGGACAGCCAGACGTTAGATGGCTGGGACAGAAGGGGTTTATTCCGATTCTGTTTTCTCAGCATTCTACCAATGATAACATCAGCCACTCAACAGGTTTGTCTTCTCTGTTTGTCCCTGTTTTTTTGCTATATAAGACCTTACTTTTCCAGTGGAGAAAGAATCGCGTGTTCCTTTGTGGTTCTATTAAATTATTGTGACGCTTTGAAAACGCATATTCGATATTTAGTAATACTAGTATTTGGCAAACTGGCCCTAAAAAAGCATTTAAAGTTGTTCTTTGTGTTAAGGCATGTGATAACACAAAAGTCATTGTCAAACACAACACATTCGATGTGTTTCGATTTGGACAAAAACACATCTTGTCTAAAGCTTGAAAACATCATGACGTTTTGCACGTGCGTCCCTTGAATGTGGACGCATAGAAGGCAATGTGATTACACCTCATGAGTATGCCACCCTTGACGTCAGAAGAGAGTCCTCTCCCGTTGTTACAGTTTCCTATGTACTTTGAATTAAACCCATCAACAATATAATTTAACAAAAGAAATTCTGTACATGATTGTCCAATGATACTGAAAACATGAGAGTTAGTGAGAAAGACGCATCAGCAGTATTGCAGCTATTCGCGGTTACACCATCAGTCATAGAAATAATCACAGGCCGGTGGGTTTCTCCATGAGGCGATATTATACACGGCTAGCATATTCATTAAAACAAAATTCCCTCGGACCAATTCGTAGCATTCGGCTAAAATGAGATTGTCCGACGTTTAACTCGACACCATATTCGCTACTTTAGGCCATACAAAAGTAATTACATTAGATTTCCATCCGCTCCCGCCTGATTACAAAAAATCCCGCCTTACATTATTCTATTTCCTCCAAGTTCCTAGAAATAGAAATATCGCTTATTTGAGTGTTCCTACTTTCTTTAAATGATGGACAATCTCAATAAAATCAGATCTTAGTTCTCGCTACTGCATGTCTCTGAAATATGGAGATCTTTCACATGTACAAAAAAAGTCTCTGAAATATGGAGGAGATCTTTTACATGGACAAAACATGTCCCTGAAATATGGTGGAGACCTTTCACATGTACAAAACATGTCTCTGAAATATGGAGGAGATCTTTTACATGTACAAAACATGTCTCTGAAATATGGAGGAGACCTTCCACATTTACAAAACATGTCTCTGAAATATGGAGGAGATCTTTCACATGTACAAAACATGTCTTTGAAATATGGAGGAGATCGCTCCCATGAACAAAACATGTCTGTGAAATATCGAGAAGATCTTTCACATGTACAAAACATGTCTCTGAAATATGGAGGAGATCTTTTACATGTACAAAATATGACTCTGAAATATGGAGGAGATCTTTCACATGTACAAAACATGTCTCAGAAATATGGAGGAGATCTTTCACATGTACAAAACATGTCTCTGAAATATGGAGGAGATCTTTCACATGTACAAAACATGTCTCAGAAATATTGAGGAGATCTTTCGCATGCACAAAACATGTCTCTGAAATATCGAGGAGATCTTTCGCATGCACAAATCAGGTCTCTGAAATATGGAGGAGATCTTTCACATGTACAAAACATGTCTCTATAAAATGGAGATCTTTCGCATGCACAAAACATGTCTCTGATGTACATGGGTGAGCTTTTCATATGTACAAACAGTGTCTTTTATATATATTACAATGTATGTCTCATGCACATAGAGGGCACGTTTCATATATACAAAAGCATACTGAATGCAATCGAGATGGTACTTCGAGCTTGGCGGAAAGTCAATGCAACATCGATAAAGAACTGTTTCAGGAAAGGTGGCTGCGTATTGACGGATGGGGAAGCTGAATCCGACAGTGAATCGGATGACATTCCGTTATCAGACTTGCGGGATGTATGGACAGAGTTAAAGAAGGTCACAGACATTCCACCAGAAGTGACACTCCAAGAATTCATAGACGCCGACAGAGGTGACACATGTACACACAGAATATCAGTGTACAACGTAGTTATACATAATGACACATGTACCCAGGGTGTCAGTATACAACGTAGCTATAAATAGTGGTAGATGCACATATGTATACACAGGATGTCACTATACAACAGAGTTATACATAGTGACACATGTACACACAGGATGTCAGTATACAACGAAGCTATATAAAGTGACACAATTAGACGCAGGGTGGCATTATACAACGTAGCTATATCAAGTGACACATGTACACAGAGGATGTCAGTATGCAACGTAGCTATATATAGTGACACATGTAGACGCAGGGTGGCATTATACAACGTAGCTATATCAAGTGACACATGTACACAGAGGATGTCAGTATGCAACGTAGCTCTATGTAGTGACACATGTAGACGCAGGGTGGCATTATACAACGTAGCTATATCAAGTGACACATGTACACAGAGGATGTCAGTATGCAACGTAGCTCTATGTAGTGACACATGTAGACGCAGGGTGGCATTATACAACGTAGCTATATCAAGTGACACATGTACACAGAGGATGTCAGTATGCAACGTAGCTATATATAGTGACACATGTAGACGCAGGGTGGCATTATACAACGTAGCTATATCAAGTGACACATGTACACAGAGGATGTCAGTATGCAACGTAGCTATATATAGTGACACATGTAGACGCAGGGTGGCATTATACAACGTAGCCATATCAAGTGACACATGTACACAGAGGATGTCAGTATGCAACGTAGCTATATATAGTGACACATGTAGACGCAGGGTGGCATTATACAACGTAGCTATATCAAGTGACACATGTACACACAGGATGTCAGTATGCAACGTAGCTCTATGTAGTGACACATGTAGACGCAGGGTGGCATTATACAACGTAGCTATATCAAGTGACACATGTACACAGAGGATGTCAGTATGCAACGTAGCTCTATGTAGTGACACATGTAGACGCAGGGTGGCATTATACAACGTAGCAGTATCAAGTGACCCATGTACACAGAGGATGTCAGTATGCAACGTAGCTATATATAGTGACATATGTAGACGCAGGGTGGCATTATACAACGTAGCTATATCAAGTGACACATGTACACAGAGGATGTCAGTATGCAACGTAGCTCTATGTAGTGACACGTGCACGCCAAGTATGTCAGTATATGAAATAGGTTTTCCTGGTGACACCTGCACAACCAGGATGTCAGTTTACAATGTAGCTATATATAGTGATGCATGCACACCTAGGATGTTAGAGTATATAATGTAGCTGTTTATAGTGACACATGTACACCCAGGCTGTCATTATGGAATGTAGCTGTATATAGTGACGCATGCACACCCAGGATGTTATTTTACAACGTAGCTATATATAGGGGTACATGTACACCCAGGATGATAGTCTATAATACAACGGAGCTTTATACGGTGGTACATGTACACCCAGGATGCCAGTAAACATCGTAGCTATATAAAGTGCTACATGTGCACAGCCCGGTTGTCAACACAGAACATTATGTTTCAGAAAATGTGTAAAATCAGTCAGCGTGTCAATGGACAATGAACAGATTTGTCACTTAATTTGTGAAAATATTTGTGTAAAATATGTAGACATTTTAAAAATTGCCTAAATGAATCAGATTTAACACATTGAGTGCAACATGTATATTGGTACGTATTCACATTGGGTGTTAGTGTAGATCATAGCAGGATGCGCATGCGCCTGAATAGCATGTCGCTGAAAAGAATGCTCCGTCACAATCGCATTAATTATGAGATGATGTTGTGCAAAAATAATGTAATGTGATCTTGAAGCAACCCGGAATGGGTATATGTGAGTGAATCATGATCATTATTGAGCGTTTTGCTTAAAATCAAGTGTCCTAAATGTAAACAAATGTGAAGGCGAATTTACACAAGTATTGTCACTGCTGACTGACCCAGCGTCCAGGCAATCAACAAACAATGGGCAGCCCGAGCAGGGTCATTGAAGCACTGACCAGCTCTCACAGCAAGGAAGATGGCCTACGATATCGAAAGTGTGGAGGATACACGCATTGACATTTTCAAAGCAATACACAGACGGCTTGGACAACGTGATGGATTTTATTTTGAAAATGAACTGTTTGAAACATACACTGATGATAAAGAAAACGGAACGAAGAGAGGAAGAGTAGACAAGAATAGTCGACGTGACATCCCAAAATGGACGTCCACCAAAACGTGTTCACCTAGAGCATTCCAGGAAGTCGGTGATTGAGAAATGTGCGTCTGGTGTATATTGCCTATGTGACTGTTTTACAAACACAACCCCCTCCCACATACTGGAAAAAAACCAAGCACTCAGCAATTGCAAGCCCGGCCCCCGCCCGACCCACATGGAGACAGTTCAAAGGACAAACAACGAGGTAAAGATTTTTCTATCCTTATCTATACCACGTCCAATTTTTATTCTTTAAAAATCTGTTGTTCAGAAACTCTAAGCATTGTGGCCGGTTTTACACAGTTGATCGTGTTGTTTCCACGGAGACATCCTAAGGTATGAAAAGCGCAGCAATATGCTGTCGAAAAACCACGTGGTGACCAATTTTCCTTTGCACCATACTGATATTTTTGCAGTCAAGACATATTACTCAACCGATGTCTAATATAATTCAATGTTTAGCGTCATGAAAACATTTGTCCCATGAACCAGCGCGTGTTCCTTCACTCAAAAATCATTTCTTTGTTTTGAAGAAACACAACCGTGTAAATACAAATATCACCAAACGTAAGTTTTGCTTTTATTAACTATTATATAATAGACACTGTGATTTCACAAAATAATACATGTTGTAAAACAACCGTGTGATAAAACCTGCGCACTTGTCAACACCTACCGTTGGATATTTATGATCAGTCAGATGTGGTGATGGGTAAAAACAATGAGGGGAGGGGTGGGATACTTGTGTTCGGAGGGTCACCTCACCTGTTAGCGATAGCTTGGTGTGTCACTTTACCAGAATAAGGGTAGGGAGTTCGGACATTACCGCAACACCAGATGCACTTTGCAACATGCGCATGCGCCGCAATGTAACATGTCTGCAGTTTCTAAATAAATGTCTCTACAAATATTGAATGTTTACTGATAAAAGAAGCTGTCATATTACGATTTCTCGACAGAAACCCTGTAAATTCATTTACAAGTAATTGCCGCAGTTTGTCATCATTCATTGATACTGACTAATATATCACATAGATGTATCTTTGACGATATTCATCTTTACTCATGTGCTTCCAAAATCTTTCCATTCTCAAGTTCGACTACTTCAAACGTGTAAACCTAGTTAAATTGCATTAAACAATATTTTGAAATGAAATGGCATAGTTTTCGTATTTACAGCTGTTACTTCCATGGTGTTTACCGATTAGCATACAACGCTGACAAAATAATATAGCGAAACAGATGGTCATGTGCGCCTATTGAAAATCTTTATTAACAAAGTATGTACGTAATTTAAAGTTTTGATGCTGGAGACAAAAACGTATTGCCGTGACCTCGTGAACAGGAAGTAATGAACTATTACTCTGTGAACTCTATGACATAATCTCTGGTGTTTTCGCGGGTAGTGTCGGATATGGTCGACACATTTCACTCACTACCCCGTACATAACTCGGTGTCCGTTTGTTGCATAACATTGGACTGAGATGAGTTGACTGTCAAGCCAGTATTCCTCTTTTAAACATCAAGATACTACTTTGTATACACCGGTCTAATGCTCATTTAATTGTAAAGTACTCTTTGTTAGCCATTTAGAAGTTGTAGGAACATGGGGACATAAAACGGTAATGGATAGCAACTTTAATGTTTGTAGCGATGTTTCAGGGTTACGCTATCACGCGAATGCTGAGTAAGCCTATTGAGTAACATTGTTTATGTATTTTTACTTAAGCGTAATTTTACTTTGATTATATTAGTTCCGTATGGAACGGCTAAATGGTTTAATGCATTTCATCTTGTATACTTTTTTTATTAGATGTTAAGATGATAATTTAAAAACCATGTTTCTTTACTCTACTCTTTTGCCACATGCCACATATTTCATGACACATGACACATGTCACATGTCACACATCACACATCACATAAAACATATCAACTGACACACTACGCACGACACATATCACATGATGCACGACACATATCTCATAACACATATAACATGTATGACATATCACATGATGCACGACCGATATGTCATAACACATATCACATGTATGACATATCACATCATGTACGAATATACCACATTTAACTTGGCGCATTAAACGTATCATGACACATATCACATGACACATGTCACATTCCACATAACACATAACACATGACACATATATATCACCTATTACCTGTCGTTTATTACATTATACAGATAGCATGACACATGACATATATCACATTGCACTTGTTGAATTCCAAATATCAAATAGCGCATGATATTTGGCAAAATAACACATCACACATCATATACCACTTGCCACATACCATCAAATGACACATCACACAACACAACACATATCATATATCACATCGTACATATTAGATGACACATATCATAAGACACATCACGCAACGCATATCACATATCACTTCACACATATTAGATTTTAGATGACACATATCACAGGGTGCATGACATATTTCCCATATCACATGACACGTGACGCACTACACATATCACATGACACATATCACATTTATGACATATCACATGTCCCGTGACATATACCACATCAAACATGTAAAATATAACGCATATCACATGGCGCATGACACATATCAAATGTCATATGCCATATGACGCACGACACCTATCGTATGACACATCACATATTACATTTCATACATACTACCCGTCATCTATCGCATGACACACATGACATGACACATAACGCATATCACATGTATCCACGAGGAATGACAAATATCAAATA